CCCCAAAACCCCAAAACCCCAAAACCCCAAAACCCCAAATTTGTAGGCATATATTGAAGACAGGTCTTGGACAAACTCTTAGCCTCTTTATGATTTAGTGGCATCCTCCATTTCCTCTCTCACTGGCTTGAAATACGGATGCAACATGGCTTCTTTGGGCAGGATTCTTTTGGCATGATCGTATAGAAGGAGTTTATCCAAGAAGTCAAGGGCCTCTTCAGTTACGAGGTGCTTATTAGAGGAGTTTATGAAGCAGTCCCATGACTTTCTCTTGTGAGAACCCAACTCAGCCTCGTATTCTTCGTCTATCTCTATTTGATACTTGCTTAAGTACTTTTTCAATGAAGAAGTTCCTAGCACTTTAACTATTTTGACAAGTTGGTCTGGGTTTGATTTCCCTTTGAAGAATGGTTCCTTTTTAAAGATCATACCTGCAAGCATGCAGCCGAGGCTCCACATATCAAGCGAGTAATCATAAGTTCTGTACCCAACAAGGAGTTCAGGACCTTTGAAATATCTGGACGCGACCCTGACGTTGTATTCCTCTCCTTGGAGGTAGTACTCGGCTAGCCCCCAGTCAATGATTCTGAGCTTCTTTTTGTTGTGGTCTATCATCACATTGTGTGGTTTGATATCCCTATGGATGATACCTTGTGAATGGCAATAATCCAATCCCTTCAGGATCTCATACATATAGTAGCGAACGTCAAAATCTGTGAAGGTGGAATAAAGCTCTCTGAAATCATAATCGCCTAAATTATTGCAAGTCTTAACATACCTGTGTCAACAAATTCAGTGATGAGAGCAGGAGTTCCAGATATTTCGTCCTTGACTACATCAAGGAGCTGGATGACGTTGGTACCACCCTTGAGATCATTCAAAATCTTGATTTCTCTTCTGATTTTCTCATCTTTTACAGGCTTGAGGATCTTCACTACGATCCGGTTGTCATTCTTAGCATCTACTCCTTCATAAACTTCGGAGTATTTGCCTCGGCCGATCTTCTTGATGAGCTCATAGCCTTCTTGAGCATAAAAAGTGGGTTCATAAGATCTGTAGTCGTAGTACTCCTCGCCTTTTTCCTCGCAGACTCCTGAATAATATCTTGGGAGGGACACAATGTTTTCTTCGGCCATTTATTCAATAATTAATCAGGTTTAGGGGTTTTGGGGTTTTGGGGTTTTGGGGTTTTGGGG